AAATTTCATAGCTTTCTAAAATATTTAAAATTGTTTGAGCTATATAATAACCATTTTTTTTGCATCTGACAACACTTATAATCTAAAATTCTTTTTTGCATACTACAATTTTCATCAATCCAATGTGCAGTAACAATCAAATAATCATCACCGTTTACACTACGGCCCATATCAGAAGTAATAGTTATTTTACAATTATTATATTAAATAAACATTGAATATATTAAAAATATTGTGCTTGATAATCAAATTCAACCTTTTTAATTGTATTTCTAGCAAAACCTTTAAAATGTGGATTATACAAAATATGAATATAATGTATAAATCCGGGATTTTCAGCAAAACTAAATGTCAAACCCATAACAACAATCATTTTAGCTAATTCTTCAAGATTTTTTTCTCTAGTATATGACCATGGTAAACTAGAGCTAGATCCAGAAACATTAGAATGATTTAATTATATTTGGACCATCTTAGAGCCGTCTACTCCTACTGTTTCAGGAAGGGGGGTACCATCGTTTTTATCTTCGGCCACCGCTTTAGAATGCAAAATTCATTTTACAACATGACATTAAAGTATTACTCAAATGTCCCGTCCCACTTTGTTTTCCAAATGTTTTATGATTCAATCTATGTTTACATTTATTACAAATATCTTGTGTTTTATCTTCATTTTGTGTCATAAATTGCCACACAATTTTTTAGCACGTTCTACCTTAGGCATAGGATGTACGGGGGAACAGGAGCAAACCAACGAAAGGGAGTGGGACTTGGAGCGGGACTGAGACTACGAGTACTAGTAGCTGTAGGTGGCTCAGTTTCATCATCGTCATCATTAAATTTAGGCGTATCAATATAATCATCATTATCATTATCACGTTCATCATCTTGAGGCAAATCTTCATTAAAATTGCCAAACCTTCTTTGTAAATGTTCATGATAATGACCTAATCAAGAATTACTAACAATATTAAAAACAGTATCCTTAACATGTGTATAATCCTCCCTATTCATTCTTACTACAGTAGATTTTTATGTTTTAGATCTAGAAGAATTATCATTTTTTTATAAAGTTCGTCATATTTTGAACACGCTTAACTAAACTTTTTTTTACCTTTTTCAATAATATTTTTACCAGAATCCATATTCAAACATCAAATGTGAGTAAATTATAATTATATATAATATGACAATGTAATGCACACAAATAATCAATCACAAAATAAATAAATAGTTATTGCAAAAAAAAAGATGTAAATTGTAAGTTGGAACGAATGTACCGAATGTCTACTTAAAAAAGTGTAACACCCCGTAGCCAAAACAGACCAAAAATTAGTTTTTTCAAAAAAATTTGCAGGTGCTACCAACGGTGACACCGTCGGACCGTAGCCTGAACCACGGTCCGTCCTGCACAAGCGTCGATGGGATCAAAAACTCCCAAAAATTTTAGCCTAGAAAAATTAGTTAAGTCATGGATGATGGACGGACTTACGGTCCATAGGTCAAGCGACGGTCCGTAGTTCGTGATCGTCGATCAAGACTCCCTTCAACCACTCTATGACAAGAGCTATGGATGACCAGCATGGTTAGTAGGTGGACCTACGGTCCGTAGGTCTTATTGTAGGTGGAACATTTGCAGCCAGTTAAAGGGAAATGCAGTTGGGTCAACTTAAAATGATCGTAACTCTTATTAAAAAATGCATTAGGTCTTTTATGACCTACCCACAGATAGATAATTGAATAATCTTTCCATAGCCACCAACCTTGCTAAAATAAAACCTCCGAGTAAAAAGTTATGCCAATTTTAGTAAAGGACTGTCAAACAGGAACTCACGACGGACCCAATGACGGGGCGTCGGGCGAACGACGGACCGTCAGTCCTGGCCGTTGTTAGGCTCGACAGCAACCTTCCCAGGGGTCTTTTTAACGTTTCCTACTCCATTTAAACCCTAAGTTATGTCGTTTTGACCCTAAATCATCAGATTTTAGCCAGTTTAAGGCTAAAAACATGATTAAAACATATCCTGGTCAAATCATTAAATCAAAACTTAGAAAATTAGAAGCAAGAGAGGAGAAAAAATCTCAAGAACCCTAGTTCAAGAACGCCACAAGCTCCAGCAGTTCCAGCCCCGAAACTTAAGTATTTTTCCGTGTATTTCATCACCAGGTATGTGGTATTTCACTAGTGGGTTCCTTTCACCCATTGGGTCCTTAGTTTCAGTCAGTTCTTGATTCTCTTATCATGATTAAACCTAGGGTTTCTAGAACATTAATATAACTTCATGAATTTATTAAATATATGTTCTAAATTAGATTATCTTGTTATTACTCAAATTATCGCATGAATTTCAGAACCCTAGCTTTGTATTTCTTTAGTTCTTGAATTACACATGCTAGGTCTTATATTTCAGACACTTCAGACATACATGCCTCAGTTATAAATGCATAATTACCAGATTAATTGTTGCGTTCTCAGTTAGCATGTTAATTTTCAAGCTATCCAGTATGCACAGAAATTCTGATATAATCAGTTAATTTACAAAATTTATTGGGAGAGACATAGTACCGAGTTGGACGAGGGTTTAGCGTACCCAATTGTCCTAGAACTACTAGCCTAATAGGTTGTAAGTCCCCTATGTGGGAAATCAACTTAGTGATCACGCTAGCATACCTTTATACCTTTGGCAGGGTATATTGGTCCTCTCGATGGTCCGTATACATCGGACTCCACATTTAGCTCATGTGGTTTTATTATCGGTTATTATTAGCTCCCACAGTTCAGTCAGACTCTCTGCATTGACAATTTATCAGTATATTCAGTATTTAGTTTCAGCGTGTTATAAATTGGTCATTGTATCCAGTTAGCTCAGAAATCAGCACATCACATTCAAATGATTATACTTGTTTTATGCTTGTTCAGTTATGTTTTATTTCAGCTTTACTGTATCCTACATGCTCAGTACCTTTCAAGTACTGACGCATTCGTGCGCTACATCTTCTCGTGATGTAGGTTCAGGTTCTCAACATCTAGATCACGGATCGATCGATTTCCGATCTCCAGTTCAGCAAATTTAGTGGTGAGTCCTCATTCTCTGAGGACAACAGTCAGGAGTTTCATTTCAGCCTTTAGTCATTTAGTTTAAGTTTTTGCTAGATTTAGCTGGGACTTGTCCCAGTATTTGTAGTCTAGTTTAGTGGCTATTTTCAGACATAGTTAGATTCAGCTTAGTATTGAGTTAATATTTCTTTTGTATTAAACTCATTGTTTTCAAATATCTCAGTTATAGTATGTGGGTTTTCCCCATCTTTTCATTTTAAGTATGATTTAGCTTTCGCAACAGTTTATTATCTTTAGTATGCTCATGATCATGCTAGCAGGGTTAGCTTGGGAACACTTGTGGTCCTAGGTTCCGTGTCCGCGTTTCGGGGGTAGCTCGGGGCGTAACAAAAAGTAGACTTGTATGACCGCCGAAAGCCGAAAGCCGAAAGACAAAAGCGGAAAGTTAAAAATTAAAATTTAAAGGTCCAAATCCAATTTCCAAAGACCAAAACCGGGGTTTCAACAATTTTAAGAGATTAGAGAGCAGAGAAGTAGAGAGTAGAGAGTTGAGAGAAAAGAAGATGATTTTGTGAATTTGTGAGCAAAAAGAATGAAACTTTAGGGGTATTTATAGGTAATAAAAAGGTTTAAAATGTATTTTTTAAAAGTTTGGGGCATTTAAAAAAGTTAGGGGGAGGGGGGAAGGGGTAGGGGGTGTAATTTAGAGTAAATAGGGCAAAGAGACGTTGGTGGGCCCCACTAGCCGTTATCCAATGACTTTCCAACTATATTATTTCAAAAAAATATAAATAATTATTTTAATTACCGGACCTGAACAGGACCAGGACCAGAACCAAAATTTACCAGATCGGGACTAACCATTCAAGTCTGGTTTTCATCTCGCTACCTGTCCCGGACCCTGTCCCTACCGGGACTAACTGGAACGGGACCAGTTCCAGACAGTCGCAATTTCCTTGCGACCCTGAGGTGAGATACGTAGGCAACCCTTTTTGGGTTTAGTATATTTTTTTTAAAGTAAAAAATTATATAGTTTGTGCATATTTTCAAAGACATATTTGCACAAACCACGCGAATCTGATTCTCCTCTTGGTGAGATACATAGAAAACCCTTCTTGGGTTTGATATTCATTCTTTTAAATTAAAAAAATAGTCAAATAGTGTGTTTATTTTTTCAAAGTCATATCTGCATAAACTATGCACACATGATTCTCATCTGGATGAGATCTCATCTGGATGAGATATACCTAAGCAACCGTTTTTGAATTTGGTATTTATTACGTTGAAAAAAAACATTGTGTACATATTATAAGAGTCATGCCTTCAGCTGAAATGAGACTAATGGAGTTAGGAGCATGTAAAAATATTCAATATAATGAAAATGACTGACTTTGTGGTAAATCATCAATTCTTGTGCTACCTCTTATTTGTACCTTTGTGATTCTTGAAAATTATCTTGCATACATTCAAGATAAGAATAAATCCAACCTCATGATTTCATGTGAATGGTGCGGAGAGCTTTTAGATCGAAATTCAATTGCATCGCACTGTTGATCTAGAACTTGACTCAAATGTTATTGAAACAAAATTCTGAGTAATGCTATGATTGGGAAAGAATTGTAGACCTTTTTCGTCCCGATTGTGCCTTTCAAAACCTACTCAATGATTGTGATCCCTTATTTTTCTCACTTTGAGCCTAAAGTATTTTATTTGGACAACTACATTTTAGCCATTACCTTTTTAAGTGTTTATATGCACTATCCTTTTCTTGGCCCAACCTACTTGAGTTCACCAAGAGTACGCATATTATAAGAGAAGATCCATGTTTGAAGTTTCCCAAAGCAAAATATACTGAGTCTTCCAAAGTCAAGGAAAGAAAAATGACTTCTAAAGAAAGAAAAAGATAGAAAAAAAGATTGAAAGAAATAAAGAAAGCCAAAAGTTCACAAAGATGCTATCTCCTGCAAGTTGAGATTTTCCAAAAGTTCTAATTGGAACAAAATTTTTTAGGGAGACCTCAAAAGTTGTAGAAAATAGTGTCAGAAGCTTGATTTTCAACTTCAAATGATCCATCATCGCTTGAAGTTCAAATTCAACTTGCAAATCTTCAGGATTTTTATGACGAGCCAACAACTCCCCTCGTACAAATTTGTCAGCCCCCAAACCAAGGTGAGGCGGACAAGTACCTTATGAACATATGCTTTACAAGTAATCTATGATAGGAAAGTAAACTACTATGCAAATTACTGATGAAACTTCATATACAACACCTTTTGACTAGCTGAACTGCTATATGTGACAAGTGAAACTATGAATACAGATGATAACTTAATAATGTCTACAAAGCCTCTACTTGAATCCATGATGGTACCACTATGAAAATACGCATAGTAAAGACTCGGCAAAGCCCCGAATCAACCTGGATCTCACCAACATCCGCTGAGTATAATGTGCTTCTATTGGGAAAATCTACTAGTTCAGTACTTGTACCTGCAACATGAAATGCAGTGTCCCCAATAAGGGACGTCAGTACGAAAGAATGTACTGAATATGCAAGGAATAATACAACCATATGTAACATGAGAGCTCAAGTGAAACCAAATACCAGTAGATAAGGATTAGAGACAACCTTTGATTTGTACTTGTGGAATCGTGCATGTTACATTCTTTTCTTTACTTTTCTGTTCTTTATAAACTTTATACAACATATGATACAAATGACCCCTGGGATGCTGTCCTCATAATTCTACAAATTGGGATCGGCCCATTCTAGGCTTTCGCCCTTGAGCTGCCACCCTTCCATACCAATCGGGATCGACACATGATGGGATTTCGCCCCTAAGTTGTCACCCTTCCATACCAATCGGGATCGTCCCATCCTAGGATTTTGCCCCTGAGCTGCCACACATAATCACATATAGATTACTTCACTTAGATTCTTTCATTTTTGAGATTGTTATTTATCAGTTCATAACTCCTTTGGGATTGTTCTTTAATAAATAATAACTCTTTTGAAATTTTTCTTTTTGATGTTCAAAATTTTATTTTGATTATTGTTTTGGTGGTCACAATCCTTATTTAAATTTATTGCGAACCAGTAGTAGAAGACATATGAATATGAACATACGTTAATAACAATGACATGGGAAGCAAATGTGATTTGAACGTAGTACTTAGGAGCTTATATGACTCGGTAAGCATTTTAACATCACAAATTGAAGCACATCCAGTGAAGAAAATTGAACATTCAGCCAAGAGATTTGAACTCTATATGATACAAAAACAAGATGTTCATGCATGTGGAACCAAGGGGGAAATAGGGCAAATTCAACTTAAGGACAGATACATATTCCAAGTAAGTACATATAAACGTATAATTGAGCAAGTAGAGATCATGTGAGGTAACATTATTGTCTTACACAATGGGAGTGATAACAAGAAAGGGAACATATAAACGAGTGACAAGATGACATATCTATAAACAATTAAAGCAAGTTGGCAAGATATGGGCATATCGTATATCCATGCTATAAACATATGTACCATGTGTAATCTAGGATCACTTTGACTTATATAATGGAAATACGTGCTAGGGGTACTTTTACGATAAAACGAGTATAAACAAGCATGCTAACACTTGGTAGAGTAAACACACACATTTAGTAACAAACTCATATTAGAGTACGCACTTCAATGCTCTTGGGAGTAGGAACTGCAACTATGGATCAAACACTGCCAAGGGCACTTAGAAAGCTTACTTTTTGTAATGCATGTTTTGGATTTATGCAAAGAAATAGGAAATCAAATAGCCATACATACATTTCTATACAATTCAAAATGTATGACTTAAGCTCCTTCTCTTCAGATCACTAATCTACAGTAAAATAAGTTGGTATTAGTAGGTAATAAATCAATTTGAGCTGCTTGATCACACCTAAATAGTAACGAAGCAAGATGCAATCTGTCTAGCCAGTGTTTTCTTTCCTTCCCTATCCCTTTAATCGCGTCTATATACTATAAATCTTCGTATCAGGTCCTCCCTAAAACTCCATGCAATATTTAAGACCTTTAACGTCTCCTATAACTTCCCCGCACATCCAGTCATATCCCTTATCATAACATACATAAAATAATATTTGAACATAATAATGTAATAGAAGCAATATGAATCATGGTTTCTGATCACCAGCACTTGAAGAGCTAATATTACTTTTAAAGTGCTCAAACAAGCTCCTAGCTTAGCTTAAAGAGGACTCCCCACCATAACTGTCCCAACATGCACTAATCACCAGAACATCCTCCCCACAATTCACCATGTAAAAGTAGAAATTTCCAACTCACTAACACATAACAAGTGCTAATTAAGTCAAGCACAAGAGGGAGAAAATTGCAGTAGCTTACCTTGCTGGACATAACTATCACTTGCTAAGACTTGAATTCTTCAAGGTAAAGGTTGTCCTCCTTAACTTGTCATAAATTATACCTTCGAATAGCTTGAAATTCCTATTATTCAAGAACCCTAATGATATTTAATTGTTGCTGTATGAATCTAAGAGAGAGAAGAGAGAAAACTCTAGAAATCATACTTTTTTGTCAAAGTAATAATGGCTTGAAAAAGCTGATATCAATCTCTTTTAATGGGACCTGCTTTGGCCGACTTTCTCACTCATTTTGGGCCATAATATTTCAAGTAGGTGACCCACATACTTGGACTTTTCATTTGGACTTTCTGGACTTAAGAACATTGGCCCTTTTGCCACCTTTCATGTACTTCATTTGCAGCCAACAAATGTCTATAATTTGGGCCACACATTTAAGTAGGTGATGCATCTAGTTTTCCATTAAAATTATTTCTTGAGGGATTGGGAAGATTGGGACTTGGCTGTCCATTTTCCTCTTATTCTTCTATTCAACTTGGGCTAAATTAGTGCAAATAGGTGTAGTGTACTTGGCCCAATAACACAGTTAAAAGAGTCTTAGTAGGTGATGTACCTACTTGGTCTGGTCAATAAGTCAAAGTAGGTGAGGCACCTACTTGTCACCTACTAGCTTAGTGAAGTCAAGCAAGCACCTCAATATTTTATTTCATTTCTAGACCTTAATAACTTTAACATAACTTATAACTTATATACACTAAGTCACTTTATACTTTAAACTAAAATACCACCTTATGATCTAAAGTTTAAATACTTCCATCGACATCAACTTAATTGGATCGCATCAAAATATATGGACAGTTCACTTTAAACCTATTCTATTGGCACTAGTTGCCTATAAAACCAAATCCATAACCATACCACAAGGCAGTTAATAAGAATTATATAAATAAGACTAGTACACGTAGAATACGGGGTGTGACATCCTCCCCCTTTTATGATCATTCGTTCTCGAATGATAGGTGCACCTAGTAGTTTAGTTAATCTTTGAATTTCATATAGAGATTTGAGAGAATCCCCATTGTAAATAGGAAGGACTATCTACAATCCATAGACTAACCTAAAATATGTATAGACAAATCTAGCATGACGTCTCGATAGATCTAATTCATGAAATTGTACTATGAAAATCAAACCCCTTCTTTACCATGTAATTCACTAAAGATATACAGACTCATACAAATAAGGACTGTAATATACCTAAATACATTAAGCGCAAATGACACAGCAGATGAACAAATTCTAGTAGGATTCATGATCATATAAGGGGACCACATGATCTTAGATCCTTATGTTGATATTTAGAATGAGGAGGGTTACTTAGTATCTCTCTACCATGTTCTATTCCGAAGTATATTATGTTATATTCTATTCCTTCGCTAATACTTATGGTTAAACATTTTGAGCTTAGCTTCCTGGCCTTAGCAGTTAAGAATAACTTTAGTATCTCCCAATTTTTTTTGTATATGAACAGACACATAAAATCGTAGACTATCGGAGCAAAATTTTCCTTTCTCTTTTATTTCATGACGCTTTTCAGAGGTGAGTCTTTAAGAACTCATAGTTGTTAATATAAATCTAAGTTTTTTGCCGCTCCTGCCAATAGGGTATTATGATAAGTTATTTATTTATGGTTTATTAAGTTTACATATATACCCAACCTTTTCTTGTCAAAATCTTCACTACATAATGATACAAGAATATATATTCCCAAATTGTTCAAAACTCAAATCAATAAGCACAGAGAGGGTCATAATATACAGATGAATAAGTCACATTGGGCATGGAACATAGGCAGACTACCCCAAAAGGGAGAGCACAAGGTATACGGACATTAAGCTATAGAAATACATGTGTACGCGTGTATATGAGTTATAGGGTAGCGTGTGAGAGAATGAACAATAGAATGTAGGAATGGACTAGATGAGCACATGATGCTGAGACATAAGCCAAGATATGTAGTACATATGACATGTAGACATAGAAGAAAATGAACTACAAAAGACAAATCACATTGAGCATGTGCATTGTATTGCATGGATAGGTGGAATAACATGTCAATGAGCACAAATATGAAATATGATCAAGTGAGCACATAACACATGGCCAGAAAAGCTATAAGGCGTGAAATGCTTAAGCAAGTAGGCTACTTGGTATGCAAAATATATAGAAACAGTCATATGATTAATTAACATGCATTACCGTACAATATTGACAAACGTCATGTGGGAAGTAACCAATGCAATAAATAACATGCAAGGAAAAGTTCCTATGAAAATATCAATAAACAAGGGTGCTTTGAAGCGGATAACTCTTGCATGAACGCATTCCATGACGTTGGTTAACCTGTGAGAAGGCAATCCACAAAGGGAAAATGACATACAAATAGATAAGTTATAGAACATCAACATGTATAATTATATAACAAATCACCTATGGAAACTACAATATATATTATAGAATCACTCTACAGTACTAAGGTAAACACACTGTCTTAAGCGTTTAAGTTACATGTGGGATAGTTCTTGTCATATTCCTAACTCGCCTCAAAACATATAAAATTGATATCCCATCTACTCCCTCTAATCTCCTAAGAATTCTTATTAGTGTTCTGCTATTGGGACTGGGCTTCCGTCTAGGTGTAACGACCTGTTTAGTCGTTTTGAGCAACAGATGTTATTTCTGGAAAACTGGCTGAGACAACGGATCCCACGAAGGACCGTCATGGGCACGACGTACCGTCGAGGGGGTCTCGTTTCAAAACACTTAGAAATTCTGAAAAATGGGTCCTGAAATCGACTCTCTGAACTTTGTGATAGAATGGCAGGACGGACCATCACAGGCGTGACGGGCCGTCACAGATTCTTCAGAAATTTCACTCTCTGAACTCTGTGACGACCCAGCAGGATGGACCGTCGCAGGCACGACGGCCCGTCACAGGCTGCGTAATCCCAGGCTGGGTTGGATTTCTATTAAGTAATTTAAGGGGCGTTTTGGACTATTCCGGCTTTAATTATAAAGTTAGTGGGTTAATGTTAATAAATCTAATTACTTGGGGGTTAAAAGAGGTAACCTTGAGTAAATTAGTGGGTTATTATTGCCATATTTTATTCTTAATTATATGCTAATTAGGGTAAAAGAAAGAGTGATTGAATAAAGAAAATAGAAAGAACAAAGAGAGAGAGAGAGGATCGAACGAGAAGAGGAAAACACAAAGCTTTGGGGAATTTGCTTGCTTGATCACTAATCTTCGGTGGAGGTAGGTTATGGTTTATGCTATTTGATAGTTAACTCTTAATAGCAAATGATATGTGTTGGGTTGTATTGTAAAGTCTTCTATATGCTTAATTGTATGCTTGCATGAATGTGATTATATAATTGTGATGAAATAAGCATGATGAAGCTATTGAATCCCAAATCTTGAAACCTTCTTGTTATTGATGATGCCTTGGTATAAAAGAAGGCTTGATGAACTAAAGTAATGAGATTGATGATGCCTTGATATAAAAGAAGGCTTGATGAATTAATAGAATGAGATTAAAGGATCGGGTGTCACGAACCGACACTTTGAATTAGGGGATCGGGTGTCACGAACCGACACGTAGAATTAGGGGATCGGGTGTCATGAACCGACACGTAGAATTAGGGGATCGGGTGTCACGAACCGACATGTAGAATTAGGGGATCGGAGTGTCACGTTCCGAAACATAGTAGTAGGGGAGCGGAGTGTCACGTACTGACACAAGAATAAAGATGATGAATCTTGAAAGATGTTAATATACTCAATCTAATTAACCTAATTCCCATGAAAGATGTTAATATACTCAATCTATTTAACCTAATTCCCAAATGAGTATGATATGGAGCCTTGAGTCCTCATGAGTGTACTTGACGTTATTTATCAAAGATTCTTCTACATGTTGTTGCTACAGATTGAGTATTGTAGTTGATATATGATATTATTTGATGCATATTATTTTCTATTTTGAGTTGGTCGATGATATCTACTCAGTACTCGTGTTTTGTACTGACCCCTACTTGTATGTTTTCTTTTTTTTTTGTTATTTGTGGAGTGCAGCAAATGCGCCGTCGTCTTCAACTCAACCGCAACTCTAGCCAGTGTTCATTACTCCGAATTTCAGGGTGAGCTAATGCTTCTAGCTTGGACTGGATCTTCCTCTTCATGTCTTGATGCCTAGATGTTCCGGCATGGACTAGCTTTTTATGTATTTTAGCTTCTTAGATACTCTTAGTTTAGTAATTTGAGGATAGATGTTCTTGTGATGATGACTTCCAGATTTTGGGAAGAATAATAATAGTTGTTGAGTTTTTAGAAGTTATTGAATTGGTTTTTATTAATGAGTTTAAGTCTTCCACATTAATTCCTGTTGATATTGTCACGACCCAAATCCGGGCGGCGACTAGCACCCACACTTTCCCTCCTATGTGAGCGAACCAACCAATCTAAACCTTAACATTTCTATATAATATCAAGTAATAAGTAATGCGGAAGACTTAAACTCATTAAATAAAGACCAATTCATTAACTTCTAAAATTCAACATCTATTATTCCCCAAAATCTAGAAGTCATCATCCCAAGAACATCTATGATCGCATTACTAAACTAAGAGTATTCTAAATGATAAACAAATAAAAGCTAGTCCATGCCGGAACTTCAAGGCATCAAGACATGAGGAAGAAGATCCAGTCCAAGCTAGAAGCATTAGCTCACCCTGAAGATCCGGTGTGACGAAGACTGGCTAGAATTACTGTTGAGTTGAAGACGATGGCACGTTTGCTGCACTCCACAAATAACAAAGAAGAAAACAATAAAAGTAGGGGTCAGTACAAAACACGGGTACTGAGTAGATATCATCGACCAACTCAAAATAGAAAACAATATATATACCAAGTAATATCATAAAATCAACTATGATACTCAACATGTAGCAACAACAAGTACTATATCATTAACAATTACCATCAAGTTCACACATGAGGACTCAAGCCTCAATACCATACTCATTTAGGAATTATGTTCTTTAGATTGAGTATATTAACATCTTTCAAGATTCATTATCTTTATTTCTCTTGTGTCGGTACGTGACACTCCGCTCCCTCATATTCATTAATCCTCCTGTATCGGTACG